AGAATGTCTCTTCATTTTTTGAAAATAAATTTACTAAATCTTTATTTTATTATTTTTTCACAATATATGATGAGATGTTCTTTAACTATTTGGCATGCTAAATAGCATCAATATAATCTAATCACTTTATTTATGAAAAATGCTACGAACTATGAAAATTTACCTTGAAAGTTATTTTAAAAATGAAGTGAATGGTATAGAATTAAGTTGGTGGTATGTGAGTTATATTACGATTTTAGTGCATAGATGTACTACTTTTCTTGAGTTCTGTTTTGGATAATTTTTTTAATATATGTATCATTGTTGTTATTTATAAAATATGTGTGTGCCACATTATTATTGTTTTTTTAAATAAAAAAGGTATGTATACTGTTTATTTACTTAATATTATCAACCAACAAAATGATTTCATTATTAGTTCAAAACTTGAGAAATTATTATTTTTTCTTTTCATAAATTACTTTGTTCATTCATATGTAAAATATTATCTTGTTATAGTAATGTACGGATACAAAAAAAATACTTGGCCCCCTTAAGTATAATTTCTAGTTCCGTCCCTGGACAATGTAGAAGCAAACAGAAATTACCAAAGTATTCATAAATTTGGTTTTGATAGATTTTCTAAAAATTAATTTTTTTATTTTTCGTGTTGTTATTGATTTTTTAATATTTAAGCAATTTTTTTTCTTTTTAGATGTACCTAACGTAGATGTATATGAAGGTGGTGTTTGTTTGGAAGGATTCAAGCATGAGATATGACTAATAATCCATCCAAACTAATAGTCCGTTGTTTGATTCAAAATTTTTGCACTGGACTATGAATCCCAAATCTATGGGATTGTTCTATCCGCGGGCCGGGAGGGGAGGGGGGACACAATCCATAAGATAACTCATCTCATGTGATTAGGTAGTGAAATTACATTTTTGACCCTCTACTATTTAATATCTTTTTAAAAATAAAATTTATTTATTAAATTATTCATACTTTATTAAATTATTTATATTTTTACTTAATAAAATTTATTTATTAAATTATTCATACTTTATTAAATTATTTATTTTAATAATATGGTATTAATTATACTTAGTAAAGTAAAGTAAAATTTAAAAATTTCAACTACAAATTAAAATAAATTTATGCAATTTTTATTAATATTCTATTTATTTAATTTTTTAAAAGTTCTAGTAAAAAAATAAAATAAAATTTATATTTCAGATTTAATATTCCTATTATTTAAAAAATAATTTAAAAGAGCAAAATAGTTTTTTAAACATTTATCATTGTCCATAATATCCCAAACAAACATAGGATTCAATAGAATAGTTCAATCTAGACATCTAATCCCATAACCAAACAAACAGGATACAAATGCAATCCAACCAAATAGTCCGGCGATAATGTATTCTATGACTAACTGTCCTGTCCTTTACCCAGTCCGTCCAAACAAACGCGCTCAAAGTGTCACCTTATCGAGACCCATCTCAACGGAATAGTCTTATGTGACTGGGTGAGTGGTTTGAAAGCTGACATTGCGTTTTGAAACCACAAAACAATTACTCAAGTTATTACTATGAGCAATGCAGGTTCAATCTTTAGAGTAAAAGCTGTGCTTAAAATGTTCTACCATGCTCTAAATTTAGGGGTCTGAATTTAGAGCCCTCCCTCCCTATGCAACGCCATGTTTGGTGATCAATTCTTCTCAAAACACACAATCCATTTGATCTAGTTATTAGTCACAAACAAAAATGATTGTCAAAATATGTAACTATTTTGATGACCTTGCCAGATGGGTCGAGGTAGAGGTGGTATGTCATAAGGTCACTATCAACCATGATAGATTCTTTAATGTAAAGGATATATATGTAAATTTTATGTATTTTGTTTCAGTATCTGTCCTCCATTATTTTTAAGCTCCGGGACTGACATTGAAGAAATAGTCCAATTTCCTTAATCTCATCAGCACAAGATGAAACAACTGTAAAGTTAAAGCACTGTCTGCGTCTCACCATAGTTGGTAGAGTTTATAGCACTAAAGGAGTTTATTTATTTATATTCAATGAAAAGGAAGAGACTGTAACTCTATCTTTTGCCCAAAAGTAAACTGTAGAATAATGTTGTACAAACATAAATTTCTTGCAGGATGTTGTTAAAAATATATACATACATATATATACATATATATATATATATATATATATAGAATCATTCTGAATGAGGCTTCCGTACAAAATTTCTGTACGCTAAGTATTTTTCACAGAAAAATTATGATTAAAAAAAAGGCAGGCTAAGTTTTTTCTGACAGTGGTGACCATGTTGTGTTCACTTTAGTGTTATAAAGGATATGTGAGGGACACGGTAGGATACAGGAGGGATATGCCAAATAAGTATCCAATTTATTTTTTTTAATATTTTAACACAGCTATTAAGTATCTAATTTTTTTCTTATTTTGTATTTATATTTATATTTTCTCAAAGGTCAATGTTGTCTCCCTCTTTCTCCCTCTCTTTCTATGTCTCTTCATATTCTATGGGCCTTGTATTTTCATTATTTATTCCCTTGTGATAGACGAATTTCTACTTTGTTAGCTTTGCTATAAGGGCTGCTCACTCATGTGTTAATGAAAAATCACTTTGTTTCTATTTTTTAATTTTTGTCTATTGTTGTTTTATTTTTGTTTTTAATTTTGGAAATTATGACTTAGTGCTGTTGTTAAAATTACTTAATTTTGTTAGCTTATTGTTGTTCTTTGAATTTCCTTGAATATTTGATTGAATCCTTTGTTAGTTCTTTGTCAGTATGCTTGGTTATTAGTTGATTGCTCTTTTATGAATAGAAATATCTCTTTTTGATATTAAGAAATTTAGTACTAAATATTTTATGAATGTGCTCTTGTATTATATTTTATTTTATACATACTACATTACTAAAAATTATAAAAAAATTATTTTATGAATGTATCCTCACCTTTCCCGTATCATACTTTTTTAAGTTTTGCCGTATTGTTGTATCCATATCATATCTTACCCGTATTTTGTATCCATATCTATGCTTCCTAGATCTTAGGATCTTGGATATGTGTCCAAAATTGAATATGAGTACAGGAACGCATCATATACACACGCATATATATTGCATATTGTATAATATTTTTAGTTGAGATGTAAAATATGTAGAAATATGTTAGAAATTGAGAAGGATTCAAGAAAAACAGGAAATTTATACCTCTACTTCATGTGAGAGGCTATTGCTTTACTAGCAAATGTGGGTTTCTTCTTCTTCGTATGTTGTAACAAATTAAAGGATCCGAGTGTCTAAATTGGGTAAGGGTGTTAGACACATATCCCACATTCTTACCCTTATCATATCCAGTGGACAACAGGTATTTTGGGGGAAATATAAGAGTCCATGTAACACAACTTGAGGTGAAGATTGTGCTTCAGGAAAACATTAACCTAGATCAATTGTTATAACAAATTAAGGTATTAGAGACAAAAATTTATGAAAGAAATCACTTTTTAGGGACTAAATATCTTAGTTGCCAAAAGTGTTATTGTTGTATTTTTAGCAACAAAATTAGACATTAATTACTATTCTTTTGTGATCAAAATTTCTTTCTCACGAGTAAACCTTTTGGCATGAATTTTTTTGTCCCTAAAAGTGCATTTATTAGTAACATTTTTCAAAATTTTGTCAATCTTTTTACTTTTCGAGATGATCTTTTCTTGATGACTCACACGACGATTAGTATTGGTCTCATAATGTTTTTTGCAACAAAAAATTTGCTTTTGAGAACGGAAAAGTTTGGTTCTAAAACACTTAGGTGCCGTTTGGTAACACTTACGTTTTCAGTTTTCTGTTTATATTTATAAAAATTTAAAAAACTCAAATAAAAACTTGTTTGGTAAAATTTTTGATTTATAAATCAGTGGTCTCAGTTTATAAATTTGGCTAAAAAATGAAAACACAAAAAATGTGTTTCCATTTTGAGTTTTCAGTTTTTTTTTTTTTTTTTTTATCAGCCCAACGACTTAGCCACACCGCCACCATTTTTCTAACCACTAATCTTTTCCGGCCACCACCCCCCACACCACCTGCCACCACCACTCACCACCCACCTGCCTACCACCACCACCAGTCACCACCAGCTACCACCACTCGCACCACCGACTCAGCACCCAACCATCCACCACGATCCACCACCACCACCACCACCACCACCAAACCCACCGACTCACTTGCCATCCATCCGCCACCACACCACACCCGCCACTACATCCATCGCCCGCCACCTCTTGCACCACCCCACTGCACCCACCAGCGCACACCCCACGCACCAGCCATGCCACCTGACCACTCCCCCACCTCACCACCCACCACCCACACGCACCACCGCACTCGCTACCCCGACCACTTGCTTAACCGTACTCACAACCCACCACACCACACCGCGCCGCAGCCACCACCACCACCACGCCACACCCATCGCTACCACCCCACTCTCCACCGTCACCCACTCCACACCAGCACCACCGGCCACCCACCCGCCACCAGCCCGTCATCCGCGAACTCACCTGCCACCACCACCACCACCACCACCTACTCGTTACCACCCATCACCCGCCACCGTGACCCACCCACCCATCACCACCACCCGTCACTACCGCCTACCCGCCATCCGCCACCCACCCGCCATCTGCCACCCACCGGCCACCACCACCCACCCGGCACCAGCTACCCACCACCCACCATCACCACTTTCCACCACCGTCTTCCGCCGCCACTTGCCATTTCTTACTCTTTTTTATATTTTTAAAATTTTTTAAACATTTTGTCAATTACCAAACGTGTTTATAGTTTATGTTTTTCTAAAAATAAACAAAAACCAGTTTATAAAATTTTTGTAAATATAAACTGAAAATGTAAACGTTACCAAACACACATTTACATGTAGTGATTGTATGACCTCTTAGTGTGATGCTAATGTTGGGAATTGAAACCATGATTATGATTATTCTCTCAGACAATACATGGGCCAATTTTCCTTTTGGAATCTTCTTGTTCTGAAAGTCCCTTGAATTCAAAATTCAAACGATATTATTCGCACCCTTTCTTCTTTGCAAGTGATAAAATGCACCTTAAACAACTATATACTTGGGCTTTACTTTCTTGTGAACATTCATATTAAAGTCAAATTGGTCATTGCATGATAAGTCCCTGTTCAGATTTGAAATAAGGGATTTGTTATTCTCCTTTCTGGGAACAGATTACCATGTCCATTCTGTATTAGACTTCTTTGCTTTCTTATGCTGTAGCAATGGAGCTGCTATTCAACATATTGAAGAAGCACCGAAGGAGTGCAATTCAATGAGTTCTCCGAACGCCACCTCAATCTCAGCCAAAAACCAGAACAAGAAGAGAAGTTCCGTTCAACTTCATTTGGATTTGGGACAATCTGATTTTCTTCTGTGTACTTGTTCTATATGTGGGTTCAAGTTTGCTTGTGGGGATGAAGGGGATGAGAAAGTTCACAAGGAATTTCACAAGGATTGCTCTCATGGCATCCAATTCAAGGTACTGTACTGAAAGTTTTTTTTTTTGTATGCTTTTCCCAAAAGTGCTAGAATCTTATCCTAATTCCATTTACAGGGTTGGCACAATGAAAGAGTTGTTCATTTGGCTTCAACCAAATCGGGGCGCATAATTTTGGTGTTGGATGGTGATCCGCCTGCTCATAAGAAAAAGGCAAGAGATTTGCTTTATATTCTACTTATTAGTACAAACCCTAAATTCCCTCCCAAAAAAAGCCTGATGCCTACTTGTATGAACCACATCCGAGATTCCACAATTGGACTCTAGAGGTTGGTAAGTTTAGAATATCAAAAATAACAAAGTAACATCGTCCTAGTTGCCTCATTATGTTACACTAAGACATGATGGATTTGAACCAAGTTGAGGGATACTTTCCTCACACTTGTAGACAAAGGGAAATCTTTCCTAACTGTGTTATTGTATACCAATTCCTTTCTCTCAATAGCACTTAAAAATGCAATGTTAATGTGGACTTGTGCAAATAAAAATTCTCCAGACCAGTAAACAAAACCAAATGAAACATAGGGATAATGTATTATTCAGAAGCCAAGAACCACATCAAGGAACACAAATGAATGTAGGGAACCAAATAACAAAAAAATTTAGATGATTCAGGGAACTTGGTTTAACTTTTCAACACTTGTAGTTGGCTGCATGAATAAATTTTGTCCATTTTACTCTATTTAATTCATTGGCCACTTGCTAGTTTAACCAACATCAAATCACTTCTTTACATTGTTGTGACTGACTTCTGATTTCACATGACCACACTAGCAATGTAAGATGTAAACCGTTTTTACTTTGCTAAAGTGGACAAATATGTATTTTTTAACTATCATAAAAATATGTTTTGTTTTTAACATTTTGCTTGATTGATATTGGTATGCTAGAAGACAAGAATACTTTGTAGATTTTTTTATTCTACTTTTTGCCTGAAGAAGAGTATTTTTGTTTTTTTAAAAAAAAAGTTACACTTGTTTTGGCTGAAAATATGTTCAATGGTCAATCAACCAGATAGCATTTGTTTTAATATGTTTTGAACTTGAAAAACATGTTCCATGGCATAGGAACACATCATCGCATCACAACCTTAATGGGGGTGCTTACTTCATAAACAGGTTCAAAAAGTTGTTCAGATGATGGAGATGGATCTTGGAAGTGGATGGTTGATTCATAAACTCTGCAAGGTCGGAGGGAACCGTATTATTGGGTGCTAATAATTACGTCAGTCAAGTTTAGATGTCTCTCATAAATCAGCACTTTGTTTTTATTTGTTGCACACTTGGTTGCAGGTTTATTTGTATATTTTCCATCAGAGGATTGCTGGTTGTTTAGTTGCAGAGTCAATCAAAACTGCTTACAGAGTTCTATCAAACTCGGGGGCTCCAAAAAGTGTCAACAATACCAATACAAATAACAACGGATCTAATTCATCTATACTTCAATTTGGTGGTATTAATTTTCAAAGGGAGGCCGTGGAAAGAGCTCCTTCAGCAATTAATCCCGAGGCATCAGAGGAGGACCTAATGGGAGCAATATTCCTTGGAAATGAAGCTGTTCCTACCATTTGTGGGATTAGAGCCATTTGGGTTGCACCCTCTATGAGAAGGAAGCAAATTGCTTGTCAATTACTGGATGCTGTAAGGTAAGTCCAAACTTCACAGAGTTCGTGCCCTACTTATCAATTCGACTCCCCTGTGTCAATTGTGAAGATCAAAAAGAGAGAAAACTGAAAGACATAGCGATTGAATTTATTTGTCCAATCCAGATGAGATGAGAGGTGAATTTAATATATTTTCTTTAATGAGCTATGTGAATCACAAGTGATGTGACTTTTCAATACGAGAAATGTAATTATGATGGTAGATGCTAACCTAACTGAGTTTTAAGCCCTCAAAATAGCTAGTTGAATTACTTGCATTACTTTTTTTTCTGATTATAACAAGTTTAGTTTTAGTTTATGCACAAATTTCTCTTGCTCCCAAAATTGGAGGGGCTGAAAACATTGAGATTTGAGAAGAGATTCTCAATAATTTTAGTAACAAAATCCTGTCAAATGGCTTAGTACGGGAGAAAAAAGCACTTGCATTAGTATGACCACAACTTGCCTTCTGCAATAAAATTGTGTCGTTCTTTTCAGGCTTTTTTCAATTCATTATATTGATGAAAAGCTTGCTCTGTAGGCGGCTAAGCCCTCATATTGCACATTTTGAGACCAACCCAGAAATTCTATTGGATATAGACAATGTGCATGTGCATCCTTGAAGACTTATTATCTGTGCAGAATATTTAGTTGTTTTTTTTAAAGAGTTTTGGACAACAATTGGCTGATCTTTTTCCTGCTTTCTTCTGTCTTGCACAGGATGAGCTTTTGCAAAGGTTTACTGCTGAAACCATCTCAGTTGGCATTCTCCAATCCAACCTCCACTGGAAGGGCGTTGGCATGCAGATACTTTGGCACCTCCTCATTTTTAGCCTATAAGGCTGCTGATTGAAATGTTTGGGAAATATATAGTCAAAGCTTTCTTCAGTGTAGCATTTCAACTACATGCATACATTTTGCATGATACATACACCAATGTATACTTTTGTTTTTTTGTTGAATAGATACTTTTTAACATATTCAATTTTTATTTCTTGCCCAAACTTCCTCAAGTAGAATCTAGATTATCTTTTTGCAATCAACAGGTTGGCATGCATAAATTAGTACCAAAATCTTTTAAAGGTGTTATTGAGATTCTTGTTGAAGCAAGATAAAAACAAAACGCATTGAGATTGGTTTTTAGGTAATCCTCTCTAAAGGCGTGTGCATCACAAGAATAATACTAAAGATCATGAAATGCTTCATGAAAAATATATAATGAAATGCTTCATGAAATTTTTTCATCTTTTGATTAGTGTGTGGTGTTTTATTATATGTATAAGCTAACGGTAGAGAAGTTTTCATAATCATTTTCATGATATTTTTTTCAAAATTCCTAACATTGCTCGCATCATAATGTGTGTCAACACTGCCTTGTATGCCTTTTTAGCACAAGAATATGAGGATGATGCATATAAAGAACTTGCTTTGAGAGGTTAAGTTTTTAGTCTAATACATGGTTTAAACATAAAAAGGGCCTCTTTTACACATATTTTCATGAGAAAAATTAAACAAAAAAACACAAAGTCAAGGCGATAATTGAAGTTCAGATATCAGTTTCACTTTTGATGACAGTAAGATTCTTTCTATGCATTGAAATGTTACGTGTTGCAAAACAGAAGTAAGTATTGATGTCTTTATATTTAATTTTAAAATTTTTTATTAAAAATATTTTATTTAATAACTAAATATATAAAAAAAAAAATCAAATTTTAAAAAGATTTTGGTTGAA